AAAAAATGGAAACAAAGTCTTTGTAAATAGGGAGACATGGAAGGGTTGAAGGGAGGGCAGGGGAAGGGGGAAAAAATAAGAACCAAGAGAGTATGTAAAGGTGCAAATTTCCTATAATGAATGTCATTATATTATATACCTAAAATGTACCAATAAAATCAATTAAAACTAAAAAACAATTAATAACTAGCAATGATGCATTCAGCCTTGAACTGAAGAAGAGGCAGCTCTGGATTGGTGTGCTCTTCCAGACTTTGGTAAAGCCAAGGATATGGTTAGCCAATGACCTAGAATAGGCATCTGTGAGGTAGATGATTAGGATGTGTTTAAATAAGTCCCAAAAAGACTGCCTAGAAGGGATAGTGAGCTCTCCAATAGAGTCTGTGTGGAGCAGATCTCCCAGAACTGGAGGCCGAGAGAGAGCAGCCAGCCCCAGGAAATTGGGTCACTTGTGTCACGGGATGGGCAAGCAAATGCTCCCGTGTGGTCCCTGAAGAGTCCTTGAAGCCATTGCAAGAGGAAGAAAAGGGCTAGCTCCAAACGCCTGAAAAGCCCAGAAGGCTGGAAGCCATCTTACAGCAGTGCAGGTTAAATGAGAGGCTTCTTGCTCCTCTCACACACCATCCTGAGTAAAGACGGGTTTGGCAACTCAAACAGATGGCAGGATTTTTTTATTGACCACAAGTAATGAAAACATTTATGAAACTGCCAGCATTTACCCTTGTACTAGAGCTTAACAGAAAATGGGAGATAAAATTAACATTTTTGTGTGATTACACCCCATGAACCCAGCTTGCTCAATATCCTGGCTACAAAATTAACGCGAAGAGCCACTTCTTCTCTCCTGGAGAAGAAACCATAAATGAAAGTAATAATAGTCCTTATCACCTTACTTGTAGACAGAAAGGGCATCTTAGCATACTACTCCCTCCCATGTTGTTCCTTCCTCCTGGCCTTCCTATCATATCAGTTCCGTGCCCAGTGCCTTCTGTGGCCTCCTACAGTCCCATAGGCTGTCTTCCCAGGCACTTTTCCATTGCTCCCAATCTTCAGTTTCAGCCTTCCTGGCTCCTACTTTTTTCTACCAAGTTTGTCATATTGCATTGTCTTATTGCTTGCTTGTCTTTATACACCTTGTGCCTCCCAGATCCTGTGCCTTTGAGCACATCACTGCTCTTCTACGTGCATCTTGCTTTGTCAGAAGACCAAACACTTTCCTGCCCAATGCTTTTCACATTGCCCCGGCCACGTGTGAACCACCCTCCCTTGAATTCCTAGAGTATCCTTTCCACCATGGCTCCAGGCTCGCCATGGTGTGCTCCATGAAGCAATCTCTCATGGAAGTGCCAAGGAGTATTCCCCACGGAAAAAGGAACTGGTGGGGAGTGAGATTCATGAATCCAAACTGACAATAACAAATGAGAAAAAGGAAAGCACTTCCTAGCTAACCAAGGTCAACTAACAGATACAACTGGCCCTTTCCAATCAGCATGATAACTGATCCAGTTAAGAATTATCAATGAATGCTCAAACTGGTGTGTCAATGTTTGATGGATAATATACTCATATAATCTCAAAGTACTTGCTCACAGATTATTAATTCTAAGAGTCAAAAGAGTTATCTTCTGGTGAAGAAATTTTAACAGATACTGCCTTAGCCAAGAAATCAAAGTTCACATCACAAATAATAGGGAAAGCTGATAATATGTGTCTCAAGACAGGATGCACTGAGAAAGACCCACTTCTGTGGTTTGCCTGTCTTGAGAATCTAATTATAGGAAGAAAGCATGAGACAAACTCAGAATGAGGGACATTCTAAAAAATAACTGGCCTGTTTTCTTCAAAAACATCCACGTCACAAAAGACAAGAAAACCGGTGAGCTGCTCCACGTTAAAGGAGAATAAAGAATCTTGGTGACCAACCTGGATTCAGGACATGGCAGGGGAGGGGACAAATGGCATCACTGAGAAAATTATAATAATTTTGCATAAGATCCACAGATAATAGTGTTATACGAAAGCTAAATTTTCTGAATTTCACAAATGAACTGTTTATAAATGAGCTCTAAGAATGACCCTATTCTTAGTATGAGAAGGGACATGATGTCTGAAACTTATTCTGAAATAGTTTGGGAAAAAAATTTTATACTATATATATTTGTTAAATACATAAACTTATTTATGTACGTAAAAGATATACATCTGTACATCTATGTGTGTATGTGTGTATGCAGTATACATATCCAGAAAGACAGAGAAAACCATAAGGCAAACATGACAGATGTTAACAGTTGGTGAATATGAGTAAAGGGCATTTAATGTTTCTTTGTAGTCTCAAACTTCTCTGTAAATTTAAAATAATTTTAAAATACTAAAGTTTTTAAAGCTATGTTTCTGTTATTCTAGGATTTCTCAAGGCTTTTAATATCCATTTATTCACGCTGTCCATATTAATCATGCACTTACTATGCAAAGAAACTGTGCCAAAGGTTTGAGACTGGTATCTTCTGGGACTAGCTTTCTGTGAAACACAGTTGGAATATGTTACTTTGCCAAATCATAATTCACCTGTCCACCTAGTCTGCGGGCTTCCAAAACCAAATGCCTGGTCTCAGATACTGTATTCCTCCAGGGTCCATCTCACAGCTTTAGGTCTTGGAAGGAGCTTGATAAATACTGACCTGAATGAATGAGTGAGAAAAAGCCACCCGAAGCCACACGAGGCTCTTTCTGACTGACGTGTGTGTGTGTGTGTGTGTGTGTGTGTGTGTGATGTTTTTCAGAATGCAGGTCCTTCACCCTGAGCTACATCTCCAGCCCCTCTTTTTTTCCTGCTTTTAGATAGGGTCTTGCCAAGTTCTTAAATTGCCCAGGCTAAGTTCAAACTTGCAGTCTTCCTGCCTCAGCCTCCCTGAGTGCTAGGATTATAGGTGTGCACTACCATACCTGGCCTGATATCTTGTGAAGATCACTCCTGGATATCTTCAGATGCACACTACGTGCCCAATTCTCCCAGATTCTTCCAGGAGCTACAATCTCCACTAAAAAAAGGGACTACTCGGCAAAGCTAGAATCTTGTGCCCTAAAACTACTATCATTAGAATCGTGGGCAGCTTTTTCCCTTGGGTCCAACTCTGGAACAGAAGACGTGGAAGCAATAGTCAGCATGGCCCATCCCACCTCAGAAGGCTCCCCAGGGTTTTGTGTGTCCCATTTAACACTCTCTCTAGACCCCAGCTAGTGCAGACAGAGTCCTAACAGTGGTACAAAACAAGGAGAGAAAGAGTCTGTAATGAAGAATGAGTTACCAAGTTTTCAAAACTTCTTTGGCAACTTCTTTGCACAATATCCTGTAATAAAATGCCAAAGCCATCTTAATAAAAATGGGAACACATTTACAGCTGCCTTTATTTGCTCAGAATTACCTTGCTTAGCTCTGTTTTTACAGCATTGCTTTCACATTACTCCTCTTGACATTGCTTGTCCACCTTCCCGCAGTGTCTCAAGAGGTCCTATTTTTATAAATTATAAACATGAGTCTTTATCTACGGAAACTGGCAGAAGTAGGAGCTTCCAGAAGCAGGAAGGCTTGTTTGATGTGATAATATCCTCTAAAATTGTAAAATCACTTTCCTAAAGTGAAAATAAAATTCAAGGCAAAGTATTTTTTACCAAGTCAGTTTACCTTGAAATTCTCTTTTCTAGATCCAGAACATAACAGCAAGCCATGCTTAAAGAAGAGCAAGACCTTATACATTCACACACAAATTAATGACTTCATAATAAATAATAAAATCTTAGAGTAAGACCTGGCCTCGGAAGTCACTGGACCCGATGGTTTACTCACTGTAAACCTCACCTATAAAAATTCCAGAGAGGATGCCTTTGTGTAAATAACAACTCTAGGAAGACAATTCAACAGCTGTTTCTTACATCTCTCTGATATAATTGCTGAGTGCGAAGAAGTTTAAGATGTTGGAAGGATGACAGGAGAACACAAGTTCAAGCCCAGCCTGGGCAACTTAATGACTTAGTGAGTCTCAAAATAAAATATGAAAAAGGAGCTTGGGATGTAGCTGAGTATGAAGGCCCTGGGTTAAATCCTTAGAACTACCACTAAAAAAAAGAAGAAAAAGTTGGTGCCAAAGTCTTACGATCTCCAATTTAAAAGCTTCTCCTACCTCTTGATTTGGTGCCAGATGCCAAGAGACAGCTGTCAAACCCAGTGCCCCATCAGTAACTCCACCCAAACTGAATCCAACAGTCTTTACAGCTCTTATGTATAAGGGCTTGTGACATTTTCTTGCTAATCACTCAAATATATCTCAAGAGTTTAAGTAATTTTTTTCCACTCAATGCAAAAAAGCCAGTACAGCAAAGCAAATACAATGGCCTTTTTTGGGGGACCCCTTGGACACATTCATCATTCACACGTGGCCGGGTGCAATGTGCAGCTGCATCTACTCTTTCAGGACATGGTGCAGTCTCAGGTCAGGAGCTGAACCAACGCAGCCATCTTGGTGCAGAAGGGGCAAATGAAGCTGGAGACAGGGTCACAGTCTCACCTCTCTCCCCCTGCACCTGCTTTAAAGTTGTGAAGATTCTCACCCTGTGGCACCCAAGGACTGTGGCACCCATGCCAGCTTTCCTAGGTCCCTGGGCACCAATGAAGTTACACTTCGAGGGCAAAAGATGAACAGCATGTTTGTCTAGAACAAGGGGAGAGTGTCTGTGGAAAAGACTAGCCTGCCACAAGGTGTCAGTGTATGTCCCCTCATGGTAAATCGGGACTGGTTGCTACACTTACGTACATAATGCAGTCACAGTACTGTACCAATGGCTGCGCACATCTGACATGAGCAAGAAAACACATTCCTGCTCCTTCTCTCAGCAAAGAGAGCCACCAAAGCATGGAATGTAGTTAATGAAACACAGAGGTGGAGGTGTGGCAGAGGGCCTCCCAGCTCACTTAGAACTTTCTGTTTCACTCTGCCAGTGTGAACAGCAGAGCCGGCAGCCAGCTCACAGCAGCTCTCTGGTCACCTCCCACCCTCCCGTTCCTTTGCCCCTTGGGTGTCTTGCCCGTACACTAGCCATGAGGAGGTCTTCTTTCCTGATGTCACCAAACTGTAGCTACACCTCTGAGGGAGAGAAAAGGAGAACAAGTAAGAAGGAATAGGCCAGAGAGAACCAGAACTTCCTCTTCCAGAGGACACAGGTCTCCTCCCACGGACCAGGGACTCCACACCAAAGGTAAACTTCTGCTTACCTTTTTGCCATTCACAAAGAAAACCAACTCGTCCACTACTGTCATCGTCACTGGTGGAGGCCCTGAACTCCAGGCACCTTGCTCCTCAGAGACACCAGCAGTAACTGCTGTGCTGCAACTTGAAAGTTACTCCTCCCAATAAAAATGAAACTAAATTGGCCAATGAGAGAGAACCAGCTTAGAGTTGCAGGACAGACAGTTCTTGGCAAAAGCCACTGGTTTACATAACTCAGGAAAATGAAAATAATAATACAGAGCATACTCTCTACACCAGAGCAGAAAGTTTATCTTCTGTGCCGGTGCCCATGGGTCTGGACTACTGCGCTCATGGAAACCGCTTCATCTCCCCACTCCTCCCAGGCTGACCAGAGAGCAAAGACCCCTCCTTCATCAGTCACTGGCACTGTCACGAGCTGACTCACTCTCTCCATGTCTACGCTTGTCATTTTCCCATTCTGCTATACAGCAACATGCACGGTGCTGACAGGCACGACTCACCCTCATGACCTACGTGAGGTACAAAGGGCCCGAAATGTAGCCCAGAGGTTCAGATTCCAATCCTTCCATTTGACCTCAGCACATACTTCCCACCTCCAGGATTCAGTCGTTGTCATCCTGTAAAGGGTCTTAAGAATGGCATCAAAATCAGAAAGATGAGGGACAAATGCTATCGTAGAAGTGCCCTGTGAATTTGTAAAGAATTGATTTTTTTTTCAGTACTTGGATTTTAACTTAGGATTTGCAATGAGCTACATCTCTGCCTCTTTTTAAAAAGTTTTGAAAATCTTTATATTTTTATTTTAGGGTCTCTCTAAGTCACTAAATTGCCCAGGCTGGGCTCAGACTTGTAACCCTGCTTCAGCCTCCCACAGTGCTCGGATTACAGGTATGCACCAACATACGCGGCTGAACAGAAATATTTATCCCTGCAGCAAAGAAATTCTCAACAATACAGCAACCATCTGATAGCAAAGCATTTTTGTGATTTTTTTCTTATATTTGTTCCTTTCAGGAAAACGCCCTGGGCAAGTTGTCAGAATAACTCATAAAAATATTTCAAAATACTTAATTAAAAATGCACGTGCCACATAGGCACAGGCCATCTTAACACTGAGCTAAAAAGCCCTCCCCACCCAGTACCCATTAGTGCCTGGTGTATGCGCTTGTGTTATGCCCACCCAAGCAGCCCTGCTGGGCTCACTACAGCCCAGCATCCTCTCACTGCCTCTCCCCCAACACCAAGGTTTGCTCTGGTCTAGCTCAGGCCCGGATGGACATCTGCAGTCAACTCATCCAGCCTTCTTGAAGCAGCACATCATCCCTACATTCCTGGCAAGCTCCTGGAAGGGGTTGGGGGAGCATTAGGCAAATGCATCTGATGCAGCAACAGCTTAGAGAAACTGACCACGCCCTCTGTGAGCAGGCAGCTAACTAGATATGAGCCAGCCGAGGGAGGAAGCTCTGCACCAGAGTGTGGTCTCAACATCCTGAGTTTGTGCTCTCCAGCTTCCCCTGTAAGGCACCCAAGAGGCTCACCATGTCTCACCCCAGAGGTGTATGGCTCTGGGGTCAGTGTTCGCACACCTAGGGTGTGGGACTGTGTGATTCAAAAGTTAATTACTCCCCTAGATTCTGTTGTAAATTTGATGGTTGGAGTGTGTTTGCCTCGGGACAATGGACAATCAGTAATAGGGCGAGGTTACTCAGCCATCTGTTTGCCCTAAATCCAAATGTCCCGGGGCCCAGTATCTATAGGACAATCTGTAAACAGGGTGGTCCTAACTGTCAGTCAGGATGTCTGCTGAACATCAGCATGTGACAATGAGCCACTAACCTTTGTTCTTTTTTTTTTTTTTTTCTGTGAATCCACATGTTAAACCGCCCCCCCCTTAACCCCCTATAAAACAACCTCGGACTCTGAGCCAGGTGCCTCTCTGAGCTATTTCGCTTCGGGAGTGCCGTCTGGCCAGACTAATAAAGGTCTGTTTTCCAACATGGCCGGTGTGTTCCTTCCCGGGTGGTCCTCGCTGTAGCTAGCTCCTTGGAGCATTTGGTAAGGCCTTGGTCTCACATTCTGAAGGCACCACTGGGATCCTCGGGTGTGCTCCACTTCAGCTCCTTGGAGCATTTGGTAAGGCCCTTGGCCTTGCATTCTGGAGGCACCGCTGGGATCCCTGGGTGTGCTTCACTATAGTCAGCTCCTTGGAGCGTTTGGTAAGGCCCTCGGTCTTACAAGGGGACTCAGGCCCCAGGCTGACCTTGTCTGACCCAATAGACTCCATCCACATACATTTGCCTTGTGCCTTTAATTTCCCTTCTCCCCTTGCAGAGCCATGTTCATTCTACTAAGACCACTTAAGATCAAAAACTCTCCCTCCGGACATGAGGGTGGATCCTCTTGTGGACTGGAAAAAGCCCAGTTAGCAACAACCCTCAATCTCTCTTCCAAGTTCTAAAAATACAAACAAGAAACCAACCTGGTCCCAGCAGCAGTTGGCACCTCTGACTCTGCACACTTGGACCCCTCCCAGCTCTGTCCAGGCTCTGGCCTTCCCCGGAGCTGGCCACTGCCCAGTCTGGGAATGTCCTGCCTTCAGTAAAAGTTAGCTCTGCTTAAGAGTGTACCTTGCTTGTTACACAAACTGCTATCTAAAATTGCTACTTTCTGACCCTGGGTTCCTTTTCCTCGACCTCCTTGTAAACAAACCTCAAAGAGGATTCAAGAACCAAGACATCAGCACAAGCAGACATAACACAGAACACCAGACCCTGCCCAGCCAGATACCAGCGCAGCTTTTATTTAACCAGGAGATGCAATTCCACTTGTAGAGCACCGAACATCCCAATTTGTTCAGGACTATCCTGGTTTGGGCACTGAATTCCTGGCAAACTGGGATGGCTGGTCACCATAAAACAGTGCTTTTTACTCTTCATCATAGGGGCCTTTTGGAAGTCTAGCATATGTTTTCTTGTCTCAACTGAAAAGATCGCTGTTGCACAGTGAATCGAAGTCAGGAATGCAACCGAACATCCTACTAAGCAGGGGACCGCCCCTGACTACAAAGATTTGTGCAGCCTGAAATGTTAATTGAGCCAAGGTTAGGAAACCCTGCCCTTTTAGAAGGAAGAAGGCGGGCAGGGTGGGGGAGTCATCAAGGCTGAGCAATGAGTCACCGCTCCCTAACCCGCAGACCTCTGTGATTGACAGGTTTTCCTCCACCGGCTTCACAAGCCCTCCCCTTCTGGCTAGGCCCCCTAGCCAAGCCCAAGAAACCCTTGAGGTTAAAGGGCAGAAGGAAAACTCAGACTCTGCAGTTAGGTGAGACAAGTTTGTATATTAGCTCATCGCCTTGGTGTGACTTTGCAAGAATCATTCTCTAGGCCTCTATTTCCTCATTTACAAAATGGGGCTTAGTATCCCTGCTTGGTGTCCCCCCAGTAAATGCTCAATAGAGTGTACTAGATTGTTTCTCCTCCTTCAGCCAATCTTCAGCCCACTTTCTTTTCTGGAGGTAAAATTCCTCTCTGCTTCTATGGAGGAATGACAGGTAAAAATGAAATAAATTTTCCATAAGGATTTGTATTGTCATTCAGAAATTTTATTTCTGTAATTCCCAGTTGGAAGCCCAAATCCTGAAATTTGATAAAACTTTACCTTAATATTACTTCTTATTCAGCACAATATTTGTAATCATTTTGTTTGTGACATTTATTTTATTCTGTAACAAAATTGTCTGTATTTATTATGTATAACAGGTTTGAAATATGTATACCTTGTGGAATGGCTCAACCATACTAATTAATAGTGTCAGGTAAAAGGGCCGAAGACCAAGACCAGACCAGGCCACAACAAGCCTTTATTAGGGGAATAGATCTGCCGGGCTGTCTCTGAACAAAGGAGAGACAAAAGCAATATGGCCGGGGCAGGGAGAGTCTTTTATAGAGACTGGGGTGGGGCTTGTAGGGGCTAAGGTGGGGTTGAGTGAGGTAGTGACTAGGGAATGGAGGAGCCGGTGATGTCACTAGGTGGTAGGAGGTGAGCAAGTATTAGGTTACTGTCTAGGTTGGAACAGGGGCATGCTGGGAAGAAGGGTTTGTTCTTTGGTGGGAGCA